CTGCTGAAGCTCTTCGCTGCATTTCTCCCTGCACCTTTTCTTTTATGCATTCTCCATCCAAGCCCTGGGACCTCCTGTTCCTCTTCCTCCTGGCACTCGCCAAGCTGGCCGTCTACCTGACCAGGGCAAGTGTGGGGCTGTCTTCCCGTCACTCCTCTGCTCACATCTCCAGGCAGCGTGTCACCGGTTGACGTCCTTAGCTCATTCAGCAGGCGCTGCGGCACAGTGTCCCCTTGTTATGAACCCATGATGTCATTCCCGTCCCTGTTTTCTTTGCTTTTTGTCCCTTTGACGCGCCTGTTGTGGCCTCTTATTAGGGGAGGCTTATACTTTCCTAGCGGGCTCCTGGAATGGCACGTCACGTATTCCCGCGACCAGCCCCAAACTTTCGAAGAATAACGAGACTAACTTGCAGACCCTTTCCTTCTCGTGTCCCCAGGACAAGGGATTTAGCAGAATTCACAGCCTCGTTTGAGCCCCGGCGGGGGCCCCGTCTATGGCCTTGACCTTGCAACCTCTGGGCTGTCAATGGTGCAGCTTAGCACCTGCCGCACCCCAGCCCTGGCCCATGCTCTAGCTAGGGTGGTTTGGATGGCCTGGGGTGGCTTGGACAGGGCTGATCCTGGCTCAGGCAGGGGTTGGACTAGAGACAACCTCTGGAGCTCCCTTCCAGCCCCTCTTCTTCAGGGTTTTCATGCATCCCCTATGGACTTGGGGTTGGACTAGATGACCCCTGGGCTCTGCGGGTGCTTCTCTCTGATGTCTCCTCCACTGCCTGCCTTGCTTGCTTCAATTGGATCGGGTTTCCCCGTCTCTGCAGCCCCGAGGCTGAGCTGCAACCCCCGTGCCCTGTCCCCAGCCCCTGCGCAGCATCCCCAGCACTGCCCGGCTGCGGGCAACGGGCAGCGTGAGGGCAGCGGCTTCGAGGCGGCTTCACGTCCCTCCGGCGCCTGCGCAAAGACCTCCGCGCAGGCGCAGTGGCCGGGTCGGGTCGGGACGCTGCGCGGAGCCGGGCCCATGGCCGCCGTCTTCCTAGTGACGCTGTACGAGTGCTCGCCGCTCTTCTACATCGCCGTCGTCTTCGTCTGCTTCCTCGTCACCAGCGGCCTGGTGGCAGCGGCTTCGAGGCGGCTTCACGTCCCTCCGGCGCCTGCGCAAAGACCTCCGCGCAGGCGCAGTGGCCGGGTCGGGTCGGGACGCTGCGCGGAGCCGGGCCCATGGCCGCCGTCTTCCTAGTGACGCTGTACGAGTGCTCGCCGCTCTTCTACATCGCCGTCGTCTTCGTCTGCTTCCTCGTCACCAGCGGCCTGGTGCTGGGCTGGTGAGGGCAGGGCACCTGTCGCGGGGGGGAGGGGCAGGGGGCGGGGCATTTGCCGGGGGGGA